AAGGGTGATGACCGAGTCAGGGCGTGAACAGTGTGTGCATGAGCTGGGCTGGGTGTCCGTGTAGACGGAGGGCGCTGGTGTAGATGGAGCGGGGTGGTGTAGACAGGCAGGGGCTGTGTGCCTCAGGTGGCCCCAGAGGACATCCCCTCTGCTCGGCCTTCCTGACAAAATGGACGTCTCTGTCCACCTGACCCCAGTGTTCAGGGCCCACACCAGTAACTGGCTGCCCAGCGGGGGCCTATTGGTGGCCACTGGCTTCAATCCTGCCAAAGGTCGACCAGAAGGTGGGGGTGATTTCTGTCCTGGGCTGACCAGCTCGGACGGCTCAGCCTCGACACATGGGCACGTTCACCACACACGTCACAGGACACCAAGCACCCTGGCTGGGTGACACGTCATCTCATCTCAGAAAAAGAGAATGGCTTTGCCCATGACGAAGACGCCCACAGCTATTTGTCTGGCACAGCCAGGCAGGAGTATTCTAGATTTCCTAAAGGTATGAATTTACACATTTATGATTGTTTTAAGCCTACATGTACCCACAGCCGCTTGTTCCAGGTTTTGTGGGAAGTTACCCTCCTCTTTTGGATGCAGACCATAAGCTCCTTGAGGATGTGGAGCTGGTCGCATCGTGTCGGTATTTTCCAAGCTCACGGAGGGGGCTGGACCGCACAGGAGCTCAGCAAACACTTGCTGAGTGAATAACGAAGGTGAAGAGGTGAACTTGGGGTGCTCTTCATTCCTCTAAGGGTGCCTGTCACCCCAAGGCTTTGTGACTCGGAAAGAAACCCAAGGTTCTGTCTCCTCCGTAAGACTCCACTTCACAGGCGTGTTCAGATAAACCTTAAAATGTACGTGAAAGTGACAGTCTATAAAATCTGAATTGCCTTTATCTTCTAAGAGCACGTCTACTGTAAATGGACTGAAAATGTCAATTTTTTTCTATTGCTCAGAGTTGGGAAGCATCCATAACAAAAGGGTGTCTGGCCATTGTCTGACACTCAATGGACACACTAGTGACTTGACAGGGGGCCGTGGACCCCGAAAAGCTGTGGACACGTGGTTCACACTTTGTGGTGTGTTCTCATTATCGGCTCTCTCTCGGTGGACCCTGCAGGTTGTCGCGTTTGCAGATTCCCCTCAAATACAGCAGCCCGGCACCGGGGCGGGAGGGCCCGCGTCCCACCCTGGACCTGTGCTCACCGCAGTTGGTGTAGCCCACCACGGAGATCACGGGGAACTCCCGCCGCCTGCGCTGTGTCCCCAGGAGGTGCCGCTTCTTCCTGAGTCTCTCCAGGGCCTTCCGGATCTTCATCTCCTTCTCCTTGAAGAGACGCTGTTGCACCTGCACGAAGGATTCTCCTAAAAACACCCATGGTGGTGAGTCAGTGCGCAGACATGGGAGGAAGAAGACACAAGAGCAAATGCACCACGGGGTGGGGCGTGGGGGACGTGGACAGGCGAGCAGACTGCGCCACGGGGTGGGGCGTGGGGCATGGGGACAGGCATGCGCTTGGGCCACGGGGGTGTGGCATGGGGGACGTGGACAGGGGTACACTTGGGCCGTGGCGACCCTCCTAGCCTGCTCCCCCTGGCTGCTGCCACCCCGACACCTTCCCCCTCTGAGAGACGGCTCCGCCCGGCTTCCGTGACAACCCCCTTGTCATGTGACAACCCGTGACAAGACCGGGGACACATTACCCGACCCCATGATGTAGCGCGAGCCCCCTGCTCGTCCGTCCAGGCTGGCAGTGTCGTTTCTCAGGCTGGACCTGACGTGGAAGGGGGCAGGTCAGTAGACGGGGCCGACGCACCTGCCCATCCAGCTGAAGCGGAGCAGGCCCGACACGACCGAGGTGAGGGCAGGACACAACTCGGGTGGGGCTTCTGTGTGGGGACACTGAGCGCACCGGGGTCCTCCCTCCACACGGGCCTTCACCGTCGGGGACGGAGGTCCCACAATGGAATGCAGGTCCTCATGGGGGGCACGCGCCTGGCGGGGGTGCTGCTCGGACACCTGACAAGCTACAATGTCCAGGCGGGCGCAGCCGGCCACGCTCTGTCCTTACTGCACCCGGGCACCGGTCAAACTCACGAACACGAGAAGGGGGTCCCATGTCTGTCCCAAGACCCGGTGCCCTCTGAGTACCTGAGGAGGGGGAGCTCGGCCAGCGCCACCTGAAGCCGGGCCTCCTTGGTCCGGGCGTTGCAGCGGAAGATGTGGAGAACCACCGTGAACCGGTCGAACACCTGCACGCCCCAGGCGGCTTCCAGTTCTTTCTGGAAAAGGAGGGAGCGCGAGCGAGGGATCTGCATGGGACGCCAGGCCCATTGCAGGACCTCAGGCTTGGGCGGACATGACGCTGTCCCCAGATCCTGTGCCCTTGTCTGCCCCGCGTGGCGGGAGGCTGACCCGACTCCCTCAGCCCGCTGAGATCACAAGCTACCTTGGTGGGCGTGCCCATCCTCTCCACGTTCAGAAAGACGGCTGTGATCTCAGGCGATCCTCTAATTCTCTCTAGGGGAAAGAGAAGGACCCATCACAGGTCTGCCCTCCCACGGACGTGTCACGGGACCAACCTGCATGTCATTGGCTGTGTTCACGGACATCCCCGAGTCTGGGCACAGTACTTGGGAGGTCGGGAGGTGGGAGAGGGGTCGGCCAGGGTCCATCTTCAGGGGTGTGGGGCCACGCACACGGAGGTCACACAACCCTGCATCTAAGACTCGGGGTGACACAGACGGGCGGTGAGCATGCCCCCTCTGCACGTCTGCAGGGCTCGCTGCTCTGAACTGCGAGCCGACAGGGGTTTAGGGTGGGGACTGTCGGGGGGCCATGGAGGGCTTGATTTACACGCAGGCCCCACAGCACGGGGCGCTGAGAGCAGGTGGCGTGCAGCCTGGAAGGAGGGTGGGCTGGGCTGCGGGCCACAAGGCAGCTTCCACCCTCCTCTAAACTGTCCCGACGGTGCCCCCAGGGCCTCACTGAGGTTCTGATCCAGGTGGCGGCTTTCCCCAGGTTCCCGTGAGGCTGCCTCCATCTGCCCCAGACAGCCCCACTGTCGTTCCGTTACTCCGGGGAGGAAGAGAGGACAGGAGGGGACGGGAACACGTGTGCTGGACCCACCTGTCAGGTGCTCCAAGGTCCCTTTGCCGAAAATGAGCTTCCTGTCGGGCGTCTTCGTGGGCACCACCATCGTCTCCACCACCGACCAGTTGTCCAGCGTGTGGACCAGCGCTTTTGCCTCCGCCACTTGCCACTCGGCTTTGGGGAGAGATGGGGACAGTGTGAGGGACGTGTCCCTGTGGGGTCGGCCCCGGGCCCTGTCCGGCCCTGCCTGGTGCACCCTGGCCAGATCGCCAGGCCGGGATGGCTGCCTATGCTTGTGTGGAGGTCCTCTGCGACAGCACCACATCGGCATTTGTTCTGAAAGACAACTATTCTTCTAGGCACAAGTGGTAGGCAGGGGAGGACAGAGGCGAGGGGAGCGGGAGGGGGCGCCGGAGCCGAGCGGGATGCAAGGACAGCCCCTCCTCACGTTGGCATCATGCTTGGTGACAGACGTCTGCTCAGTGAGCCCGTGGTCTGCTGTGACCCACTCCATGGCATCTCCTGTGAGGTGGCCCCTGAGGGCCCAGGGAAGCTGCCAGACTCCCCGAGGGTGGCTGTGAGCCCCCGTGGGTGAGGAGCAGGAGTTCCCAGAGACTGGTGCCAGCCTGGCCCCAGAGGTTGCCTTTGCTGAGCCTGGCACGGGGAAGACAGTATCCACGCAGGGCCCACAGCCACGAACAGACAGGATGAAGTGTGGGACGGGGCAAGGGGCATGGGGAAGGCTCCAGGAGCGGCCCAGGCGGTGACAGGAGGTGCCCAGTGACAGGAGCCGAGGGCACTAGGGGGCCTGGGCCAGGCCGTGGGGTTGAGGACCAATCACATAAGAGCTGCCCGATCACAGGTTCTCCTTCTGACAGTCACTCCTGAGGAGGAAGACGGTGCAGGGCAGCCCAAGACGCTGTGCTCAGGGACAACAGGCACCAACGTGTCCTGGGGTTTTGAGCCCTGACTGTGGGGGACGGGGCTGAGACGGGGTCTAGAGGGGATGGGAGCCTGGGGGCTGTGACCGGGGAGGATAGCTCAGCAGGCCTCCGGGTGAGTTTTCTCATTAGACGCGTAGTTGGTGCTCCCTGAGCCCCGAGTGAGGTGGGCCTCCCTCCTGAGCCGTTCCCACCCTAACCCCTCCCACTTCACAACCAGACGGCCCTCTCCCCACCGCCCCCAGCCCCGTCCATAAGGCTGCCCCTTGCAGCAGAAGCTCACAGAGGAGCCGCCCTGTCATTCCTGTGCCTCCTGCTCCGTTATCCCCACTCAGCAACTCTGGGTGCTGCTGTCTTTGGGGCAGCCTTGTGAATGCTAGGTCACTTCACCCTCCTCAGAGCTCACGGCACAATGAGGAAACTGAGGCAGGAGAGGAGGATGGGAGTGACAAGGCTGGTGAGTACGAGCCAGCCTCCAGGCCAGGATCCAAGACCACGGGGCGGGGTCCTCAAGCTCTGCTCAGTGGGGGGCAGGGTCCCCCATCCCCTGGGCTGTGGGGTCCCCCATCCTCTATGCTGTGGGGGGAGTCCTCCATTCTCTGTGCCATGGGGAAGCGGGGTCCCCCAGCCCCTTGGCTGTGGGGAGGCAGGGTCCCCCATCCTCTGGGCTGAGGGGAGGTATGATCTTCTGGGGTTTGACTCCTGATGGGCCCCGCCGGTCTTCCCCACCTCCACCCTCCTGGTCGCTCATGTCAGGCCCTTGGGGTCATCCCTGATGTCCCCCATGGCCCATCAGCAAACCCTGCAGGTGCTGTCTTTCCCGACCTCCATGGGGCCACGTCCCAGCTCCACTGGGGGTCACTGAGCACCCTCCCTGCTCCTTCAGGCCACTCCCACAGCCACCTGCCTGGGGTCTGGTCAAAAGGCTGCGTCAGACCCCACCTCCTCACCCTGGGCACCCGCTCCGTGGAAAAGAAAATCGAGAAGCACTGTGAGTTTCACAGCCCAGCGGCTCAGGCCACTGCAAGACTGAGACCTAAACAGCACTAGAGAATCCTTCCCCTCCCCGCTCACCACATCACTAAGGCCCATGTACTGCAGTTCCTTTTACCTGGTTCATCGCGCCCAGCTATCAAGAAAAAATTAGTCCCACCAGAAAGCAAAAGACGCAATGTGCAGACAGAGGCGAGCGTGAGAACCACACTCAGACGTGGCAGGCATGTGGGAACTATCAGACTGGGAATTAACACAACTGTGACTGATATGCGTGATAAAGTAGACAGCAGGCTAGAAAACATGGGCAACGTGAGCAGAGAGATGGAAACCCTAAGACAGAACCAAAAGGAAATGCTCGAGGTCAAAGCAGTGCAACAGGAATGGAGAGTGCCTTTGACGGGCTTGCTAGCAGGCTGGGCGTGGCTGAGGAAAAAATCTCTGAGCTTGAGGATATGACAGTAGTGAAAACTAAACACTTCCGTCTGTGGAAGATGTTGTGGAGAGAGAGAAGTCAAGACACAGACTGGGAGAAAATATCTGCAGACACATCTGATAAAGGAGTCTTCTCCAAAATACACAAGGAACTCTCAAAACTCAATAATAAGAAAACAACTTGATTAAACAATGGGCCAAAGAGCTGAACAGACACCTCACCAAACAAGACATACTGATGGAAACTAAGCACGTGAAAAGACGCTCCTCATCTTATGTCGTCGTCAGGGAAATGCAAATTAAAACAACGATGAGACACCACCACACACCTATTAGAGTGGCCAAAATCCAGAACACTGAGAACACCAAATGCTGGTGAGGATGTGGAGCGACAGGAACTCTTATTCTTTGCTGGTGGGAACACAAGATGGCTCAGCCAGTCTGGAAGACAGTTTGGCAGTCTCGTACAAAACTACACATACTCTCACCGTACGATCCTGGGATTTACCCAAACGAGCTGAAACCTTGTGTCCACACGAAAACCTGCACAGGGATGTTTATAGCAGCTCAGAAGCAACCACGGTGTTCTGCAGTGGGTGAATGGGTAAGCAAACCACGGTCCATCCAGACAATGGAATATTATTAGCACTAAAAAAAAAAAAGAGCTATCAAGCCATGAAAAGATGTGCAGGAACTTAACTGCACGTTACTAAGTGGAAAGAGCCAATCTGAAAAGGCTGCGTAGTATATGATTCCAACTCTATGCACTCTGAACAAAGGCAAAACTATGGAAACATTACAAAGATCCATGGTTGCCAGGGGTTGGGGGAGGGAGGGGGGCGGTGAAGGATGAGGAGGAGGAGCACAGAGGACTTTTAGGGCAGTGAGACTATTCTGTGTGGTATGCTAATGGTGGATGCATGTTATCACACATCTGTCCAAACCCCCAGCATGTACAGCACCAAGAGTGAGCCCTAAGGGAAACTACGGACTCTGGGTGACCATGATGTGTCAATGGAGGTTCATCAATTGTGACAAATCCACCGTGTGGTGGGCGATATTGATCATGGGGGAGGCTGTGTGGGGGGCAGAAGGTCTATGGGAAGTCTCTGTACCTTCCTCTCAATTTTGCTGTGAAACTAAAACTGCTCTTAAAAAAGTCTCTAAGAAAAAAAAGAACGAAGCACTGACACAGCTAGAACATAGATGAACCTCGAAAACATGTCAGAGAGAAGCCAGACACAAAAGACCACAGCCCATCTGACTGCACTGAGATGAAATGTCCAGCACGGCAAATCCACAGGGGCAGCAGGCAGACCAGTGGCTGCCAGGGCCTGGGTGGGGGAGCGTGGGCAGGGTCTGCTACTAAGGGCACAGGGTCTGCTTCTGGAGTGTGGAAAGTGTTCTGGAACTAGACAGAGGCATGGCTGCACAAGACTGATGTGCTGCTGCTGGACTGTGCCTTCAGAATGGTTGATTGTATGGCGTGTGAACCGCATCTCAGTAAAGTTCTAACAAAAGGGAGAAGAGGAAGAGAATAAATAGAACCCCACCCCATCGGGTGCCTCCTCTGCTCAACACCCAGTGCACTCGTCAAAACCCACGTCCTGACGTGGCCTACAGGATCGGGAGTGACTCGGCTCCAACCGCCCCCCAGCAGCCAGCTGTCAGGGGTCCTGGGGGACCCCGGGATGTGCTCCCACGAGGCCCCGCCTCTGCACACTGCCCCCAGCCACCTGTTTGCTGCTCCCTCCACCTCGGGGTCTGGTCTTCCCGGGTCAGGCAGGACCACCCTGCTGAGAGGGGGCAAGCTCCTGACCACCTTCCTCTCTCTGCCCGCCCTCAGCGCTTAGGCCCCAGCGGGGCTTCTGCCCGGTGTGTCTGCTGTCCCCCCGCCTTGACGGTGCAGGCCCAGCGGGCTGCCACTGAATGGCTGACGATGAATGTCCTGGGGAGGCAGCTTCTCAGGGTAGGCAGCTTCTCAGGGGCAGCTGCCAAGGGTCTGCTGTTTCTTCACAGTTTGCATAAAGAGTACGTTGAACGTTTTTGGGCACGATCTTTGTTTAGAGTTCAGTGACGACAGAATGAAAATGCTCGCCCATAAAAGACTAAGGCTTGTGACACACACCGTGCACAGAGGTTTTGGAGTTTTGTGAGATTCTCTTCCTTCGAAGATGGGGACGAGGAGACAACACTACAGGCCGGAGAAGAAGGAGAGCAGAGGGGGCTGGACCAGGAGCGCAGGCGGAAAGCGGAGAGGGCCCAGGAGCTGCTGCGCGCAAGGGGAAGGCGCGCCCCCACCCCAAATCAGGAAGAACTTCAAGACGAGGCAGCAGGGGCTGAGGCTGCTTCACGCTGGCCCGGGGGCAGGTTTGGGGGGAACCGGGACGCAGCGGGTTCTGCTCAGCCCTCCGAGCCCCGCCCCAAAGCCCAGCCCCCGGGTCCCCGGTGCGAGTTCCAGCCCTCGAAGCCCCGCCCCTCGGGGTTTCCGCCCTACGCCTGTCAGCCCTCGGAGTCCCGCCCCAGAGACTCCGCCCCCATAGGCCCCCGCCCTAAGAGTCCCGCCCCCAGGAGTCTCCGCCGCCACAGCCTCAATCCTCGCTCAATGAGTTCCAGCCCTCGAAGCCCCGCCCCTCGAAGTCTCCGCCCCGA